CATAGTTTAGTCACACCATAGAGGTTTCAGTTGTTTACTCTCACAACTGCATGATGGACTGGGAGCTATGGTCACTCCCACTGTCACTATCACAAGAGAATATCATACTATGTATTACTAGAAAAAGTTCAAAACCCAAAGTCCAGTTTCTACTGACTGCATATTACTTCCACACCATCAAAATGTCAAAAATCATATGTCAAATCCTAAGTCAGATCTGTAACTGCCAGCCTAGTTTAGCACACAATAAAAGTACCAAAGAATGAAGATGAAATAAAGATATTGCCAGACAGGCAAAACTTGAAAGTATGCCCCTAGTAAACTTTCACTGAAAAAGTCTAAAGGATGAACTTTAAGCAGAAGGGAAGTACAGTACTCCTTCCCTTGTCCAAAGTTTTGCTTTCCTTTGGTTTCAACTACTCATGGTCTCAGTTACCCATTGTCAATCTTCAAGTGCTATTAACACTTGTGAGGAATTGGAAGAACTTGTTGAGTCATCTACAGATGCAGAGGAAGATGAAAAAGAAGAAAGTGTGTTTAAAGTGAGGGGGAGGCTTTGAGGGGGTTCAATGGCAATGTGTCTTTTACTGTAATAAACTGTTTAATTAAAAAATAAGAAACAAAAGAAACTGAGTCAGGTATGGTGGCACACACCTGTATTCCCAGATATTCAGGAGGCTGAGGCAGGAGGATTGCAAGTTCAAAGCCAGCCTGGAAAATACGTGAGATCCTGTCTCAAAACAGGAAGGAAAGAAGGGAAGGAGAAGGAAAGAAGAGAGGGAGAAAGGGAAGGAGGGAAGGAAGAAGGAAAGAAGAACAGGAGGAAGAAGAGGAGAAGGAGGAAGAGAAAGAAGGAGAAAGCTGAGGAGGAGGAAGAAGAGGAGGAGGAGGAGGAGGAGGAGGAGGAGAAGGAGAAGGAGGAGGAGAAATTGAGCAGAACCAGCAATGAAAACATTACCAAAATTTGCCAAAATGTTTCAAATTGTAAAAGCATTAAAGGAGAAAATGTAGAATGCAGCATTAAAGCCACCCATATGATCACTGTAGTATTAACTTCTCCAGCAACATTTTGATGAGCTAAAAAGAGACAACTTTTAATTACAATGTTCTTCTCCCAGAAACAATCAAGGATCCATGAACATCAACATTATCCTATCTCTATGGCCCAGTATTATCTGAAGCAAATGATCCTCCTTCTGACTTACTATCAGAAGATAGAGGCCTAATGTACACTACAATGTCTACCTCATTCACCTCACTTCATCTCATCATGCAGGCCTTGTATCAGATCACATTATCACAAGAAGAGGGAATACAGGGCTGGGGATTTAGCTCAGCGGCACCGTGCCTGCCTTGCAAGCGCAAGGTCCTGTGTTCAATCCTCAGTTCAGGAAAAAAACAGAAATTCAGAATCTAGAATATTCAGTGTCTAAAAAATGGAACCCACATAGCTTTTGTTATTGTATATTATTGTATATTGTTCTATTTTAATATTAGTTATTGTTACTAATCTCTTATTGTGCCTTATTTATAAGTTAAACCATATCATAGGCATACAGGTATAGGAAAAAACAATACAACTGGCTCTCCATATCTGTAGGTTCTGCATCCATGGATTTAACCAACTGTGGATTGAAAATATTCTGGAAAAAATTACATCTGCACTGATTGTGTACAAACTGTATTTCTTATTACCATTTACATAATCTTTACTTGGGATAGGTATTATAAGTAACCTATGGAAAAAAATAAGTAACCTATGGATGATTCAAAATAGATAAGATGTTCATAGGTTATAGACAAATACTATGCCATTATATACAAGGGACTCAAGCATCCACAGATTTAGGTATCCCCAGGGGCATCCTACAACCAATGCCCCATGGATACAAAGAGAGAACTCTATACATGGGGTCAGCACTATCTGCAATTTTAGGAATCCAATGGGAATATGTTTCCATATTCCCAGATAAGAAGAGACTACTGTAAGACCACATGGGAGGCTGAGATGTAAAAAGCTATACAGAGCAAATCAAGCTGGAAATAAAAGCATAAACTTTTATAAGTGTTATATGTAATATGATAATCGTATCAAGTGGGATTTTAAAAAACAGTAACAATAACATGGTTCAGCAGAGAGTAAATAGAGCTACTATCAAAAAGGAGATTAAAGGTATTGATTAAGTTTAGATGTCTATATATTAAGTATGTATGATGTCATTTCTAGATCAATCATAAAAACAATAGAAGTATGGAACTTGCAAACTACTAAAGAAGAAAAATAAAGTAAAAATACTCAATAAATTGGAGATAAAAAGAAAAAAGAAACAGATACTTGTGTGGTGACACACGCCTGTAATTCCAGTACTCAGGAGGATCGCCTTGAGTATGAGGCAAGCATGGGCTACACAGTGATTTCAAGGTTAGCCTGGGCTACATAGCGAGACTGTCTCAAAAAAAAGAAAAAAAGAAACAGAACAAGTGATGATAAATAGTAAAAAAATAAGATGTATGTTTAAAATCAAACATATCCAAAACTGTATTAAATACAATGGGTTAAATATATAATTTATTCAAATCTTTCCTATATGCCACTATAAAAAAACCCTAAAATATAACAAGAGAAATACTGAGAGTAAAATATCAACAAAAATATGACAGGCAAATGCTATAGCGATATTAGATAAATTACACATTTAGGACATTAGCAGAGAAAAGATAGTCCTTTCATATTAGTACAAAAGTTTAATGCAGGGCCAGGGATTTAGCTCAGTGGTTCTGGTGCCTGCCTCACAAGCCCAAGGTCCCAAATTTGATCCCCAGTACAAAAAAAAAAAATGTTTAATGCACCAGGAAAATAAAATGCTTTAAAAACTATATTCACCTAAAGCCCAGGGTTTGTACATGCTAGACAAGTACTTCACTACTGAGCCATATCCCTTGCCCAAGGCAGTTCAAATTATATAAAGCAAAACTATCAAAACTAATAAAAAGTATAAGTAAATCCACAATGGTATGGAAAGATATTAATGTAGGTGTTTCAGTAATTGATAGAATTATAATCAAACTAGAAATCAATAAAGTAACTATAATTTTCCCATATAGTTTGAAATTAAGAAATATACTTCTAATGGAAATTAGAAAATATTTTAAATGGAATAAAGATGATAAAACTACATATCAAAATTTGAGAGATGGAACTAAGAAATATTGTGAGGAAAATTTAAAGCCTTAAATACTGTATCACAAAAGTAGAAAGCTGAAAATTAATGACCTAAGTAACTACCTCAATAAAGAGTTCACCAAAAACACCAAAAAAGTAAAACATATTAAATAATAGAGAAAAAGACACTATGCAACAAAAACCCAAAGCAACCTTTGGCAAAACTTACCCAAAGAAAGAAAGAAAGAAAAACAAAAGAGTGGAATAAAAGCATAAATAACACTAAGAACAATGGTAATAACACTATAGAACCTACTGATCTTGCAAACAGGATCCTTAGAACAGACTGTGCCTAAAAACTTGACAATTTAGACAAAATGAACAAATTCCTGGAAAACATTACATAATGATTTGAACAATAAACAAATTGAACTACTCCTGTATGTACTAAGAAAATTGTGTAAGTAATCAATCTTTGCACAAGAAGACTTCAAGACAATCAGATTTCTTCCAAACAATTATCAAAGTAATAAACAATGAGGGGAAAAGAAAACCTACAAAGTAACAGAGGCTTAAAACATATCAACCAGCCGAGTGTGGTGGCACATGCTTGTAATTCCAACACTTTGGGAGGCTGAGGCAAGAGGAACACAAGTTCAAATCCCACCTGGGCAATTTAGCAAGACCTTGTCTTGAAATGAAAAAAGGGGTTGTGGATTTATCTCAGTGGAAAAATCTTGGTTCAATCCCCAGTACCAAAAAACAAAAATATTATCAACCAAATGCAATATGTACACTGTGTTTGGATCTTAATCCAAACAAGACAAACTGAAAAAATCAATTACTAAAATTAGAATACAAATTGAGTATGTGATGGTATTAATGATTTATTATCAATTTTCAGATGTGATAATATTTTTAGATACATTAGTAAAAGAGGATAAGAATTATCTTTATTTGGCTGAGGCAGGAGGACTGCTGTGAGTTCAAGGCCAGCCTGAACTAATAGCAAGACCCTGTCTCAAAAAAACCAAAAAAAAGAAGAAGTATTATCTTTATTTACAGATAATTAAAAAAAATAAAATACAGGTGACATATGTCTGGTTTTGCTTCAAAATAATTCAGGTTGGGAGGAAAAAGAAGTATAGTTGAAATAAGACACATTAAAAATTGATGAAGATAAGTGACCCATATGTGGGCATTCCCTACTTTATTATCTTTATATTTATGTAAGTTTAGGATCTTCTGTAATAGAAAAGCAAGTTAAATCCTGCGTCGGGGATTTAGCTCAGTAGTTCCGCCACCTGCCTTGCAAGTGCAAGGTCCTGAGTTCGATCTCCAGTACCAAAAAAAACCAAGTTAAATCCTAAGCAAGATACATACTCTGGCCTCTCTCACTCTCTGACCTCATATCCTACTACTTTTTCCTCTCACCTGTCCTTCAGGTGAACACAGTGGAACACCCAGACCACACTTCTGCCTCAGAACATTTCCAACTGTTCTCTCTGCTTAGAACCTCTTCTTCCAGACATACACATGGATAGATCCCTTATTTCTTCAGAAACCTCTTAGCTTTGTAGTTTTGTTTCTTATGGAATGGCCTTCCCTGAACACTATAAAAATCACACACAAGATTACGTCTTATTATCTAATCCAATTAGGAATGTAAGCTTCTTGGGGAAAGAAACTCTTTTGTTTACTCTTCATTCCAGTACCCCTTAACATATGTTGAATGAATAAATTAATGTTGAATAAAAATAATGAAATTAATGAAAGAGCAAGTAAAGAAAACCAAACATTCTAGAACCTATGTATTGTCAAAATTTATGCAATTTACTTTGTATCTGTTTCTGATTTCTGCTTCATCTCTATGATTTCCACCATGAGGAGATCAATAGGATAACCTGATCTTCTAACAGCCAAAACAGAATCCACCACAGCCTGAAAAAGAAGTGAATAAGAATAGTAAATTAGTTGGTCCAAGTAATCATCACCAGATTAAACAGGTAAAGGGCTTCAGGCTTCAAAACATAAGGCAAAGCCAACAAATGCCACTTTACTATGGACACCAACAAAAAAATGACCAGTGAATACTTTAGAATCTAACTTCAGAATTATCAGATCCAAACCCTTTATTTTAAAGATCCCAAAACTGAGATAAGACCTTGGAAAGTCAGTAATGATTTTAAAATCAGATCTAACAGTAGCAGAGCAAGGACTAGAAATTCAGTCTCTTAACTGCCAAGTCACTGTTCTTTCTGTCACACCAATACTACCCACACTTTTTCATGAAAGAACACCTTAATCAATGGAAAGAAAGGAAATGTAATCTAAGAGAAGAGCTTAAATCTGCTGGTCATATTAAATAATTAAATCTCATATTTTATCATTGAAAGTGTCCATGTCATGCCACAACACATGCATGTTTGTTTCACTGTGAAAATGATCCTTTCCCCAAAAACTGTAAAGTAAAATTGATAGTCCAGAAAGACGTGTCCCATTTATTCTCCCACATATCTCTAGGGATATGCAATTTAAGAAGCAGAGCACCCACATCTTACTGCTTAGCTCAAAAAAGAATATGAAAATAACTGATCACAACCACTCTAAAGTATAAATAAAGCAAAAAACCCACTGTATCTTAGAAAAGTTTACCTGAGGTAACATTATTGATAGTGGAGCTGAGTAGACAATAAGACAGAGGCCAGTGGGTAGTGAGAGTGCCAGTGTCTTTAAGCCTCCAAAAGCCCTTACCAGATAGCACGAAGATCCTGGGCCACCTGAGTACTTCAACAGCAGAAAACACAGCAAGCCTTTCTTCTGACTCTCCTAACCAAGAAACTGTCTGATTTAAATCTGATTTCCCAGGAAGATTCTCCTATTGGTAAGGAGAATTGAGCAGAAACAACTCAGATGTTCCAGTCCATTTGGCATTTGCATTTTTTCTCAAGTAAATTAATAACATTCTGCTTTGTATGTCAATGTCTTATGCACTTGTTTGCTATGAAGTCATCATTCCTGATAAACCAATATATTCAAGTTTCAGAAACTGCAAAGCTGAGGAATAATAATGACATCACGAAATGATAACAACCTGATAAAATCTTTCTTAAAATATCCATCCAATCTTGTCTTTATATTACATCTATTCTACCTTAGAAGTAAACAAAACAAATATGCATGTCCTAAATGTGAATACTATAATGTCAAATCCATCATGTTTCATTAAACTGGTAACCTAAAATATAAGGCACACTGCCAAACAACTTCCTCACATGTTATCTCATCTAACAAAATATGGACTGTTAGGGTTAGATGAGTACAATACCCAAAAGCTTCCACAGGGGACAATCCACAGGCAGCCAAGCCTCTCTGAACTTTCAAGTCACTAAGAGTTAATATGACACTTTTGAAGAATTACAAATACTGTTCTCACCAATCACATTGTCACCTATACATAAGCCTATAAATGTCTTTTTTTTTTTTACATTCAAAAGAATCACATGCAGTACTACTTGGCTACCTTATAGGAAAAATTAAAATGTCATCATGTATTAAGCTGTGCTCATTCTGGATACAACAGTTTAATCACATACTTCTATTAACACATCAGCCAGTTCAGCATGAATTTTTGTTTGCAAAGATGTTCTAGCCACATCCAAGAGGATTTCTCTTTTCATCTATCTCCTTTTTTACTTTAACTTCCTCCAAAACCTCAAGTGCTTTTGTCTTTGCAGCTTCAATTCCTTCAGCTATTATTCTAGGGTGCAGGCCCTATTACATCAATGTAAAATTATAAATTGTAAAGTAAATCATCCAAAGTAAAGGTAATTATCCTCTCCTATTTTGAAATCAAGGAATCCTCTTGTAAAACCACAGTGTAATTAATATTAACATTGATACATTTCATACAGTGGCATTATCTAATCTGCAAATTTTATTCAAATTTCACCACTTAATCCAACAGTGTCCTCTTTTTTGTTTGACTGTTTGTCTTTTCCAGCACTGGAATTAAACCCAGGGCCTTGCACTGAGTTACACACCCTCTATGTCCAAAAAAGTACTGTTACCCACATTAATGTTACTTATTTTGAGTGCATACACATAATTTATAAAAGTTGTTTTTCAGTGCTTCTTATTTGAAATAATCAAACAAATATTACAGGTCTGATACAAAAACAACTACAAGTCTTTGTCTCAAAAATTATGACTATGTAGTCATGTGGTGTCCTGAACGGGCACAAAAGACTCCTTTCAATGCAGGGGGAATGAACCAGCATTGACTTGGAGAAAAGTGGTAGTCAGACACCACCTTCAAGCAGTGATCAAAGTTAACACCACAATAATAAGACAGCCAGCATGTGCCTCCTGATAGGATGCCTTCAAAAGAACACAACACTTCTGTGGTGCTTCTGCCAAAAATCAAGAACATGAGCCTAATTGTGAGGAAAGAGACAAAGCCAATTAAGGGGCTTTCTATAAAATAATTGGCCTATACTCCTTAAAAGTAGCAATGACATGAAGCATAAAAGCAGTTTAGGAGCTAATTCAGCTTAGAGGAGACTAAAGGAACATGATAACTCAATGCAAATCATGATCCTAGATTTTTTATTTATGTAAAGGATACTATCAACTGGGTACAGTGATACACATCTATAATCCCAGCTACTTGGGAGGCTGAGGGAAGAGGATTGCAAAATCAAGGTCAGCCTGGGCAATTTAGTGAAACCTTGTCTCAAAAAAAAAAAAAAGCTGGTATATAACTGTGTGAGGTCCTAGGTTCAATCCCCAGTATGGAAAAAAAGAAAGAAAGAAAAAGATACTATTGGAATAAGTGGTAACATTTGATTAAAACCTGCAGATAGATGAGTATTATATGAATGTGCCAGTGTTAATATTAAGTTCCTATTTTATATACTTATGTAAGTATATGGTTATATAAAAGAATTCATTGGTTTTTAAAATATACTGAAATATTTAGATCATATCTGCAACTTACTCTCATACAATCAGAAAAAGATATGTACACTAACATATAATATAGTTTATGTATATATCAAGAGAGAAAGGCAGGAGGTAGAAAATAACAGGAAATTTGGGTTTAAAGTATATGATAAATCTTTGTAATATTTTACAAATTTTCTACAGGCCTAAAATTCTGACAAAGCAAATTTTTAAAAATAGTATTATCTTGTAAAATATACAAATTTTGTGAAAGCTAGCACAAGCTCCAATTAATTCCTTCCATTCCTTTGTATCACACCTAAAATAATACTGAAAAGTTGACGTTGAGCATTTGTGCTAGGCACTATTCTAGAATAGAGCTTTTCATGAATTATTTAATTTAATCCTCTCAACATTATAAAGTGGATGTTGTTATTTCTACTTTATGCATGAGGGGACCAAACTGTAAAGGGAAGGTATAATTTGCCTTAGATCACCAAGTTAGTTAAGAAGTGGAGGCAGAGTTCAAATACACAAAACCTGACTCCATAGCCCATGTTATTACTACTTCCAAAAATTTCCTTGACCTAGGACCTCACAATTGTTCCTGTGAACTACTAAAAGAACCTCTAGTTCTTTAAAACTGCCCCCAAGCTGGGCATAGTGGCCTACGGCTGTATTCCTAGCACTCAGGAGGCCAAGGCAAGAAGACAAGGCCACAAGTTCAAGGCCAGCATGGCCTACATAGAGAGTTCAAGCCCAGCCTGAACCACATAGCAAGACCCTGTCTCAAAAACAAAATGGCCCCAAATATTTAAAATGCCAATCTGACCACATTAATCATTAATATGTTGATAAGTTTAATCTATTCACCACAGGATAAAGTTTAAGTTTCTTGGCTACACACTCTTTGTAATCTGTCTCCCATCTATTTCTCCAGCCTCTTCTCCACTACTGTCCACATCACTTTAAACTCCAGCAACACCAAACTGCTTATATTACAAAGAATACCATGTTGTTCCTGCTTCCTGGAATGCCATTATATTCAGCCTTCACTCTTTGATCTGGCGTTCTCCACCCTGAAGATTTAGTTCAAGCCTTACTTCCTCTAGTGAGTGCTTCTAACTGCCACAGGCTGGATTGAGATATTTGTTCCTCAGGATTTCTATCACTGTCCAACCACACAGTTTCATGATTACATCGCTTTCTATCAGTACTTTACTATTCCCAAATTCCTCTCTTCCTAAACCAACCCTAATTTTGTTTGGATGTCCGTCTTCTAGTCGTGGCCTTGGAGAAAACTAACCAAATCCCCAACTAAAGAAGTGAATCCTCATTAATCTATGTCAAATTTCCTAAAACCTGTTACTTGTTTAGGATGGGCATAAGACACAAGGGTAGGTTTCGATCCCCAGTACCAAAAAAAAAAAAAAAAAAAAAACACAAGGGTAGGTAACCACACTAAAGAAAAGATTTATGTTCCATAGTTGAGTGAATGGTTTCCTCTTGCCTTCCCCTCTTGAGCATTATCAAAGGAAGCAAGTAGCACTGATGTCCTCTGACAGTCTTAACATTCAAGATGAAAACAACCCTTAGGATGAAACAGTATTTTGAGCATTCAGAGCTAAGAGACAGAAAGAACTTGGGTACTTTATAACTCATTGAACTTTTTAATCAACCAAACTTGGATCTTGCCTAATGTTCTGTTAAGGGAGATAATAATTCCCTTATTATTTAAGTGTGTTTTCAGTCAAGTTTCTACTGCTTACAGTCCAAAGCAGTCTAACCGAGACAAACTGCAGGTGCTGAAATAATAGACAATTCCCAATACTAAGAAATAATATTTTAGGGGCTGGGGATTTAGCCCAGTGGTTCCTCTGCCTGCCTCAAAAGCGCAAGGACCAGAGTTCGATCGCGGTACCAAAAAAAAAAAAAACTCTCAAAGAAATAATATTTTAGTACATTGACCAGGTTATTTTTTGCTGAAATGGACCCTGAATAAGAAGAAAATTTCAAATAATTATAGAAAAGAGATAAGTAATGCCAAGAAAAGAATACAGATTGAACAAACACAAAGGTATAAAAGTGCATGATGATTTCAGAGTCTGGTGAATGGAGGACTCTGGCTAAAATAGGTGATTTATAAATGAAAATAAAGTTAAAAAGGTAGATAAATTTTCAATGTGCAAAATATTCAATAATTTTTTCCAGTTATTTTTCAAAAAGTATATTATTTGGTTTCAACTTTATCAATGGCATTTTGTTTCTTAACAAATCGGTATGTGGGTAATTTTTACCTTTCAACATACCTGAAGTGTTTCATTTTTAAAAGAAGTATATAATTCCAGGGCCGGGGATTTAGCTCAGTGGTGTTGCCACCTGCCTCGAAACCACAAGGTCCTGAGTTCGATCCCTGGTACAAAAAAAAAAAAGGATATGATTCCAATAAATAAAAGGTATTATTTTGGCAAAAAGAATGTATTATTATTTCCATTTATAATTCCCCAAGAATATCTTGATTAAAATTAACCTGTACCCTCTAGAATTGTCATTTTATGTTTTTTTAATTCACAATATAATGTGAATTCTGTGAAATTTTAATACCTCAGAAATGTAAAGATCAGCTTGTTTTAGTAACTCTCCAATAATTAGAACATTTGCAGTAGTACCATCTCCTGTAATGTCATCCTGGGCAGTTGCTACTTTTGCTATCAAGGAAGCTGCTGGGTGTTGAATTTGCTGAAAAAGTAAACAACAGATTTAAAAAGACAGGAATGAGATTTCTAAAAAGCCACATACAACACACAAAAAAAATAAAAAATAAAAGGCCACACAAAACAAGATAACCTAAGGGTCAATAGTAAAATTAGAAATGAAATAAGCTTCACTCCACAGGTTTACAAGTTTTACATTATCAGTACTTAATAAATGTCAAGTCCAAAATTTAAAAATTGAAAACTAATGAGGTTTGAACATTTCATAAGTCTTTGCTTCAGAATGCAATGACATTTCCAAAAGAAGATTAAATCTTTCAATCTCAAAGATGAATACATCTATGAAAATTGCAAATTTTTATTTTTCCATGACTACAAAGAATATAATGCAGTGTCTTTAAAAGACATTATTAATTAAGCTATTACTTGGACTAAACAAACATTTGAAAATAGTCGAAGATCATTTTTATTGAGGTTTAATCAAAGAAGCCCATCACAAGACTCCAGTAATTAGCTGCCAGCCTTGGTTTAGAGATGTACAAATCATGCCATGTTCTTAAGTAAGGCTTACTAAGGTTTATTAAAGTCAGCAGCATCAGCTCACCATCTCATGGAGCAGCACATTGGCATCTTTGGTGAGTTTGATGTCGCCAGCACCAGAAACAAGCCTGTTCAGAGAACAGTGACATTAACTTCATATGGCAAGTGGCACAAAAACAGGAAACTGGGTCTGGAAAATGTCCATCATGCTATGGGGAGTTAACACTGGGATTATCACTACTTGAAGCTCACAGAATCACTTCTCCCCAGATGGACTTGTAGTGATTTCATTCCAAATGAAGCTTTTATGGGTTTAAAGAGCAGTTGAAGTTATGAACATTGATCAAAGAAGGGTAAGTATATAAAACACAAATTGCAAATTTCCAATTTTTATTTTTTGGCAAATGCTATCAATCATTCACTCAACTTAGTTCCCCTCATTGCTCACATTTAATTAATTACCAAGTTCTGTCAGTTTTAAAATAGAAATTTCTCTGAATCTTAATCCCTTCTCTCCATTTCCACTGTCATCATCATCTCTAGAACAGCATCCCAGATATCTCCAAATTTGAATCTACCCTCACAATGTTTTTCCTTCTGAAAGGCAGTGCAAGCTGAGCGTGATGGTGCATATCAGTAGTCCCAGCATTCAGGAGGCTAAAACAGGAGACCAGCCTGGACCACATATCAAGCAAGACCCTGTCTCCAAAACAAACAAAAATGCAATGTGACTCAGTTCAGAGCAAAAATCCTTAAATGATAATTTTATGTTGTCGATCATTTTTAAGATAAAATCCAAACTAATTTAACAATGACATACTTGATCTTTACCATTCTAGCCTATCTTGCCTGTCACATCTACCACCTGCCCACAAGCAAGCCTTTTGGTTCCCTTAATGCGCCATAGTTCTCCCCTACACAGCCCACCATGGGAATTATATCATTGGGCTCTTATTCCTGAAATTAGCTAGGAGACTGGGTGTGGTGGCACATGCCTGAAATTCCAGCACTTGGCTGAAGATGACTACAACTTCAAGGCCAGCCTAGGCCACATACTGAGATTCTGCCTCAAAAACAAAACCAAAACCAAACAAAACAAACCACAAATTAGCTAGGAGGCCATTACTCCTTTCTCCAACTGATAAAACTCATTCTTCCTTTTTTTTTGGTTTTTTGAGACAGGGTCTTGTTATGAAGTTCAGGCTGGCCTTGAACTCACTGTGTAGCCCAGGCTGACCTAAACTCACAAAATCCTCCTGCCTCAGCCTCCCAAATCCTGGGATTATAGGTGTGCCCCACCACACACGGGCCTCATTCTTTTTCCAAGACTGATAAACATCATCTTTTACTTGAGAGACTTTTCCTTCTACCATCATTAATCCTTTTCCTCAGTATAATCATATGCATCTATATATAATTACCACATCTGTCTCTACCAGAACCCCTTAAGAATAGATTTTTGTCATGTTTTCCCAGGATTTTAGTGTATAAGTGTTCCTTTTTTGCCATTAATATTAATTTTCTCATTCACCTCAGGGAGTCTCCTCTTACATCCTTTAACTTTCATCAGTCTCTTTCCCTCTGTGTAAAGAAATTAATAGTGCTAAATAAATGTGGTGAAAGGATGAACAAATGTGAAGAGCCACAGACATAAGGCATTCAAGTAACTTGCCTAAGTACTCAAGAGCTAGATGTGTGTGTGTGTATGTGTGTGTGTGGTGTGTTTAATCCTAGTAAATACATTCCAACCAAGGTTTGGATTGGTATAGATCAAGGATCACAATCTTTCAGAAGCTGTAGGAAGGTGAAGCCCGATAGGTTGGTCCATAAACAGGCCAGAGAAACAAGGAACCACAGCTTTGAAAAAACAAAACTGTTCCAGCTCCTTCCTCGCAAGAGAAAGGTCCCGAGTTCGATCCCCAGTATCAAAAAACAAAACAAAACAAAACTGTAGGCCTCATGTCAGCAACTAGAGATTAATTTTCAAGTTCCACAACTACTTATGGAACTTGGATTTGAGCCCATGTCTGCCTGACTCCAAAGATCATGTCCTTTCCACAACAAATTACCACGCAAAAACAAGACTACATATCTGCAGCGGACCTGGTGGTGAAGCTCAGTGATACAGCAGGTACCTAACATGTGCAAGGCCCCAAGGTTCGATATCCAGCACGGAAGGAGGGGGGAAAAGACTACCTGTGGAATTTACAGACTAAGGACATATAGTCTTGGGGGGG